CATTTTTTCTCAAAAAAAAAAAAAATTCCAATTTTTTTTTTCAACTTTTTTTTCTTCACTCACACATCCGCGACCCACTTGAAACGGGTCCGCGACCCACTTTTGGGTCGCGACCCACCAGTTGAGAACTACTGATCTACATGGTTATTATCAGTCAGAGAAGAGCTTTACAAACCTCCAGGTGGCTTGGAGCACTCACAAAGTTTTAACATGCATTCTTAATGTGCCAGAATTTCAGATTGTGAATATACCACTGTCTTTCTCTGCAGGTCTGTTAGTGAGTCCGCAGAGGAGTGACCTCTGGACAGAGTAAACCTCTCATGGTTATATAAGTGCAACAGGTGCACTTTGGTCCGTTTTGAAAGCATAAAACTGCAGTGCTGGAAAGGACTAGATGTAACTAGAGAAACCATATCACTGGGCATCAGACCAACAGGTCAACAGGCCAAACTAATCACGACTGCATGTACCGCCGCCTACTACACAAGCTTGTGTAAAAAAGTTGATTTGCAACTTTAAGAGCTACACATAAAATCCTGTTTCGGGCCATAAAGCTACACTTGTTTCACTTACGGTCTTGTTTGATACACTTAACTAAACCTATTTGGGTTTTTTGAATTAATAAAGCTGATATTCCTTTAAATGTTGTCATTTTCATGATGCCATATGTTGTCTTTGCTTCACAGGTTTGGACAGTTAAGTGTACTGTTTACTGCTGATTAATAACGATTATTTAAGCCTATAGTGATAGTGTTCACAAAACATCATAATCATACGCTGGGTTATTAAATTATGCAGTCAAAATGTAATTGCAGTCGCAAATGAATACATGAATAATAATAAATGATATAAACGCATTATGCTGGCAAAAAACGTCCCGTGTTGCGAAGCAGGACTTGGTGAATACATTGCCTTTTATAAGTAATAGAATAGAATCCCATTGCCGTTAAAGAAAATGTTTCCGGTTTCTTATTTCTTTGCATGGTTTCAAGAAAAGTTATTAAAAAAGTGGAACAATGAAGACATAGGTTGCACCCACAAGTGAAATATGTGCGGTGAAAAATAACTCATTTTCACTATTTTTTCTATATTAGTATTTTTAATATAGTTTTCGCAAAAGGCATTTTATAGGAACTAATTGTTTTAATAAAGGCATTCAAGTGTTCGTACTGGATAGTTAGTTAACCCTCATTAAAAATATCCGCTGATTTACAGACGTCTCTTTCCCTATGTAAGTCAATGGGAAAAGGTCATTTTTGGGCCGATGACATCACTTGACTGACACAGGAGTTTTAGCATAGCTTTTGGCCCCTACGAATAAATGCTTCAACAGCTGACGCTCTTCCAGGGGGCTCGAGAGGTAAAGCAAGGCCCAGTGGAATCATCTGTCCATTGTTTTTGTTGTGCACCGACAGAAATGCTAGAGAGATGCATGTTATTTACGTTTGCTTTCTCTCATTTCAGGCTTCCTGATTATTTTCACCTGTGTCTCCTGTGCTCATCAATGTCAGCCCCGCCCCTGATTGGTCCCACCTGTGTCTAGTTACCCTGTGCTTATATTCCCCTGTCTCCCAAGTGTTCTTTGTCAGTTCGTATTGTCTCTTGCTATGGTCAGGTCTATGCTCTTTGTACTCTTGTAAAGTTTGATTCCTCACTACGTGAGCGCTTTCATTTTGTTCCTCTATTTTTGTCATCTCGGTTAGAGATTTGATAGTTACCTTTTTGTTGTTCATTGCTGTATTTTGGAAAATAAAGTATCTTACTAATACTTTACCTCTGTCTCCCGGGTCGTGCAATTGGGTCCTACATCCTAAGTGTCTGAGTTCGTAACAGTTTTGATTAACCACTGAATGTATCATCTCTGTCTGATGGGCATTACTGTGTGTATGACAAGTTATGTATTTACTTTTCATTCATTCACAATGTGGTGTAATGTGACAATAACAGGCTACAGATGCAGACAGCCGCTGGTATGATTTGACTGAGGGGGAATATGTTTTCATAAAATAAAATGACCGGATTAAAGGTGGCACGATTAAAGCAGTTGAATTAAAAACATAAGTAGCCTAATATCCAGGGGAGATGTGATTAGTGAATGAGTAAACAAACGGTAAAGGGCATAAAGTTGGATCATCTTAACTTTCAATCACAACGGGAACAGTTTGCAGAGCTGTCATTGGTTTAGATAAGTCCAGCCGTGCGTCACGCCTCTTTTAAACATCGCTGTTGCTGGAAATATATCCCCGGAGGATACATCAGTGTATCCTTGCTCATAGCCCCTCCAAAGAGCCTCCTCGATGCTTAATCCTCAATGTGCATTTGGAGAAATTAGATGTCCTTCAAGATGGCCGCTGACAATTGCTTTCCGGGTAACTACCTAGGAGTCGACGGGGCCTTGTCTAGTGTAGAAAACGGTAAACGTGCGAATTTGATTATAAAGTTGTGTACATTTATAGGGACTGATTTTTAAGGACACGAGGCGAGGAGTCGGGGAAAGGGCTGCTGATTTGCAACCATTGTTACGAAAATAGTTTTTTCAACTACCATATCAAACCTCCCATTTCTAGGTAAAATCATTGAAATAGTTGTTTTTCAACAGCTGAGTAACTCCTTGCATTTAAATAAAGCCTGACTGTGTTCCAGTCAGGCTTTCGACTGCATCACAGCACTGAGACTGCTCTTGTTAAGGTCTTCAATGACATCCACTTAACCAAGACCGTGGCAGAATCTCAGTATTAGTATTATTAGATCTTAGTGCTGCATTTGTCAAAGTCAACTTTAATGTCAATCTTACTCAGTTTGTGTTTACAGACAGAGAGATTGAAATGACGTTTCCAACAATCCCGAATACGAAAATAAAATTATACAACATACAGATATGTAGAAAAATATGTAGAAAATATGTATATCCTATACACAATCAACAGACACATTTACACATATGCACACATTAAGATAAAAAACACAACAATCAATATATACAAAATAATATATACAAAATAACAGTCACTTCAATGTCAACACTGTTGACCACAACATATCACCAGACCGACTGGAAAACTGGGTGGAGCTTTCGGCAAAAGGTCTAAATTGAATGGATCCTATTTAAAAGACAGGAAAAACGTTGTTTCTATAGGTAACTACACATCTGAGTTGACAAATATGACATGTGGGGTTTCTCAAGGCTCCATCTTGGCGCCTCTTCTCTTTAACATCTACATGCTACCACTGGCTCAGATATTGAACAACTACAAAATAAGTTACCATAGCTCTGCAGATGACACAAAAATGCACATAACCATTTCACCAGGAGACTATCCTCCAATTCAAACACTGAATCAGTGCATTGAACAAATCAATGACTGGATGTGTCAGAAATCTCTTCAATTAAACAAAGATAAAACTGAGGTAATTGTTTTTGGAGCCAAGGAGGAACAAATAAAAGTCAGCACTGAGCTTCAGTCTGCAATGTTCAAAACAACAGATGAAGCCAGGAATCTAGGTGTAGTCATGGACTCTGACATCTGACCTGATTTCAATAGTCAAATCAAACAATTAACAAGTCAGCCTAATATCACCTTAAAAATATATCTAGGATTAAAAGACTTATGTCACAGCAGGATTTGGAAAGACTTGTCAATGCTTTTATTTTCAGTAGAATCAACTACTGTAATCGTGTCTTTACAGGTCTCACTAAAGAATCGTATTCAGAACACTAAGAAAGTGGATCACATGAGTCCAGTTCTGAGGTCTTTACACTGGCTTCCTGTCTGTCAAAGAATTTATTTCAAAATACTGCTGCTGGTTTATAAAGCATTGAATGGTTTAGGCCCAAAATACATTTCTGATCAGCTGCTAAATTGATGAACCATCCAGATCTCTCAGGTCTTCTGTCTGCTTTCTGTCCCCAGAGTCAGAAGTAAACATGGGGTAGCAGTGTTCAGTTATTATGCTCTAAATATCTGGAACAAACTACCAGAAACCTGCAGGTTATGCTACTCTTACTACTTTTAAATCCAGGCTGAAGACTTTTCTTTTAGCCGCTGCTTTTAATTTAAAGGGGACCTATCATGCAAAATGCACTTTTGTACGTCTTTTATACATGAATATGTGTCCCCGGTGTTCCAGGGAACTCACCAAGTGTCAGAAAACACAACCTTCTCTATTTTCCTCCATACCCAAATCTCTAAAAAAGGGGCTGCAACGGATCTGATAAAAACTGATCCAGATTTGAACACTGTCCTGACGTCAGGACGGTGGCGCTACGGCTATTGGGCCAACTCCACCAATCAGGAGGAGACAGCCACGGACATTGCCGTTCGAAAGCGCTGGAGACGCTGTAGTACATATGCCAGGCCTGTAGATGGTGCTGTTCTGCCCTTATCTGCCCTTACAAACACAGAGCTAAAAAATGTCAAATTGAGCAAAATGAGGCATGGCTAAAATGCATGATCTGTTTGGTATTTTGCAAAAAAAAAAGTATAAATATGCCTTATATAGGTATGGTCCTACACTATATTATTCAAATATAGCATGATAGGTCCACTTTAACTATTCATATCTTAACCTGCACTGTAACTTTTATTAAAGTATTTTAAACCTGTTTTATTCATGTTTTATGTTTATTTAATTATCTTTGCTTTTAAATGACTGTTTTTAAATGCCATTTTATAATGTGTTTCCGCTGTACTATTTCTAAATGCTCTTAAAAGCACTTTGCATTGCCTTGTGTTGAATGAAGGTTGCTATAAATATTGCCTTGCCTTCATAGGATATCCATGTTGGCAACTGGCTACTTCAAAACAGTGTTCTGTGCCCCAACATCAAGACTGTCAGGCACTCGTATCATTATAAAAACTACTTTGGTTAATTTGCTAGTTCAGTGGACGAACATTCTTCACGCCTTACAGGGACAACTCAGGTAACCAATCGTGTCTATTACCAAACTAACCTCCACTGTAAGTGGGCGTTTCCAGAAGTTATATTAACTAATCTTTCAGCCTTCACCCCGTGAGTTGGTGCCAAACACAAGCAACATGTCGAGCGAAGTGGAGTATGACTGCATAGTGATCGGGGCCGGGGTCCAAGGCTCCTTCACGGCCTATCAGCTGGCAAAAAGGAACAAGAAGACTCTTCTGCTGGAGCAGGTGTGTCACACACACAACCCTGTTCCATAGCTTTTGTTAGTAAAGATCCTGCAGGAGGGAGGGAAAGTGTCAGATACAGTCAACAGCCGAGTGAATGTGTCCTTAGGTTTATTTCAAATAATAACAGGGATATGAAAAAGTATTTACAATGTGTGATGATGTTGTCTGTGCATTACAATATACACATTGTAAGCAGTAGCCTACTTGAGCTTGTTTGTGGTATATTAATCTGAATTGTATTTAGTAAAAATAAAAACATGTAAGAAGAATGTAAAACTCAATACATGAAACATAAATATTTTTTAAGCAGGGTCTTCTTTTTTTCAATGTTCAGAAATATTTGTTATGTTCAGATTTAATATATCATATTGCAGCCTATTGGTAGTCTTTTTGTTTTACTCTTTTGAATGGCTGTAACCTACTGCAGCATACCAGCTGGTGTTTATTTGTATTTCTTGAAAAGTACCCATATGTTAGCGGTTAGCTGAGGTTAACTGAGGTCACAGAACTGGTTGCAAAGGAGCGGAACATTTCCGTGGGAAGTTAAGCTGTGTAGGCCTATATTGCAACACTCACATAGCAATAAACAAGGAAGTTGCTTATTTGGCTTTTTGCCAGTGTTATGTATGAAATTAGGTAATGGTGGGTAAGGTACTCTTTTTCAGTAAGTAAGCGTAGCAATAATGTGAGAGTCCAAGGACAGAGGGTGTCGTATTCATATTCTGTACAAACTGTAAAGTCCACTGAGACAAATGTAAGATGTCTGATATTGGGCTATATAAATAAACCTTGATTGATTGATTGATTGATTGAGCAATACTTAATTGTAAAAGTACTCTGTTACGTACATTGGCTGAGAGTAAAATTGTAAAATTGTGTCAATATCGTACTTAAAGTGGTATGCTATATTTAAATCAGTAAAGTGTTCAAATCTGGATCAGTTTTTATCAGATCCGTTGCAGCCCCTTTTTTAGAGATTTGGGTATGGAGGAAAATAGAAAGGGTTGTGTTTTCTGACACTTGGTGAGTTCCCTGGAACACCGGGGACACATATTCATGTATAAAAGACGTACAAAAGTGCATTTTGCATGATAGGTCCCCTTTAAGTCAGTTAAGTTAAGTACAAAAGTAATGGCATCAAAATATACTTGAATTCCAAAAAGTATAAGTACTCATGCGTATTGGCCTCAATATCTTTAGTTGATTTATATTTTGTTGTGGAGTAAAATAATAAAGTGGCATAAATTGGAAATACTCAAGTTAATTGCAGCCAATCACCCTCATCCGCTCTGCAGAGAGGGTGATCGACTGCAATCTGCCATGTCTCCACGACCGGCACGCCTCCAGGACCCTGAGGCGGGCAGGGGAGATAGTGGCCGACTCCTCCCACCCTGGACACAAACTGTTAGCCCCTCTCCCTGCACACCATCAGGACCAAAACCTCTCGCCACCTGAACAGTTTCTTCCCCTCTGCTTGGCATATATCTCCTGAACTTCCCCACTCAATCTATCAAGACCCGAGCAGTTCTATTAGAAGTCCAAGGTAAGGCACGGGCCGGCGCATATCGCTCAAAGGAATCCCTCGCCATATGAACTTTGACCCTTAGAAAGTAAAAGTGAAGAGGCACAACGTGTCAGCTCCCCTAGGATAGGTCTGAGAAACAGGGGTATGAAAAGAAAAGTAAGAAACCTTAGCTATTAGCTTCACCTTAGCATGTGTTTGTTGAGGTTTGACGTGGTGTTTACAGCAGTGGATAACAGCTTCTGGCCTGGACACAGTTTGCACCTCACCGTCACATTCCTGTCTATTCTTCGGACGAACTCAAAATAATGGGCATACCTCCACCCCTCGAAAGTTATCGCTGACTCAGCCATGTTTATGCAGCACTGCACGTAGAGATGTGGACGCGCAAGTCACGCAGATTACGTACATATAAACCTGCGGCGGAAACCCCTCTTGTCTGTCAGTGTGATTATGACTGATTTTATAAAAGTAACGAAGTAACGCGTGTCGGGGCAATGTTAGTAACTGTAGTGTGATTACTGAATTATAAAATAACGCGTTACACTACTCCGTTACCGACAAAAGTAATATTATTACAGTAACGCGTTACAAAGTAACGCGTTACTGTAATAATATTACTTTTGTATGGCCCTCCAATATATCATTTAACACCCAACTCTGGTTATGTATTCTTCTTTCTGTGTCTCTGAATGCACCACTCAAACCAAAGCAAATCCCTCATGTGTGAACCTACTTGGTAAATAAAACCGATTCTGATTCTGAAAGTACACCCATCTCAAAATTGTCCTTAAGTACAATACTTAAGTAAATTTACTTTACATTCCACCACTGATATAAGGTGTGTAACTGGGAATATTTGGTCTGGTAAAATCCCTTAAATAAGCCATTAAGTAGTTTTACCAACAATGTCTTTGTATGCTGAGCTGTCACAAAGTAATTTAAGTGTTCATGCTGGCATTTTTAAGTGTTTTAGAAATGTTTTAGTGAGAACGCACTCAAAACAGGTAATGGCTAGGGAAAATAGGACATATTGGTCGTTTCTCAATGTCGAGTATACCTGCTGCAGAGCCACTATTTCAAGTATACTACGTCATCGAGTGGCGCCGAAGCACTGTTTAAATGCATGTTAAATGCCCAGCATTCGGCGCCACTCGATGACGTACTGTAGTATACTTGAAATAGTGGCTCTGCAGCAGGTATACTCGACATTGAGAAACGGCTATTTTGTACAAATGAATTATTCTAATGAAACAGTTTTTAACATATCAACAGGGCTGGATTTATATAAGCAAAGGTCTTAAGGAAATTGGTTTCTTGTAACTTTATTATTTTTATATGACAAAGAATATTGTAACCTAAAATAACAGGCGCCCTAAAACAGCACCTGCCTCATTGCAAACACTTGATGAACCTTCTTGCTCAGGGGTAATAAGTTCTTTAACTGGACTTTTGGATTATTGCTCTCTGGTGGTTTTGGCAATCTGGTGTGTTATTTCCAAATCAAAGTTACTTAAATATGTGATCTTTTGTTCATATTTTCCAGTTTGTCCTGCCCCACACACGAGGAAGCTCCCATGGCCAAACCCGCATCATCCGCAAGGCCTACGAGCAGGACTTCTACACCCAAATGATGGATGAGTGCTACAAGCTGTGGTCCCAGCTGGAGAGGGAGGCGGGTGTCACACTGTACAGGTAAGCAGTCCGCATTAACACAGAGCGAAAAAAAGCCATTAAACAAAACACAACAAAAGCTTTGCCACAACTAGGGGTGCAACAACTAATCGACTTAATCGATTACAATCGATGACCAAATTAGTTGCCAACTAATTCAGTCGTCGATTTGTTGGTGACATCATCACGTGTGTTTTACGCGCAGTTAAGCTCCAACGTTATCGGTCTTTTTATCGGTACTGGAGACATTTAAAACGTACGTCATTTTATTATTGCTACATAAACATTATATCGCAGTCTTAGTGTCGCCAACTCCGTTTCCAATATGCAATAGGACTACAAAATGCGTCTATTATGTATTTTCGATCTTTCCAATCCAGACGAGAGATCTCTCCCCCGTCTGTGTGCGAGGGGGCGGGGCAGTTTACACACACGCAGCTGCTATATGCATGTAACACACACACACACACGGCTGCTACATGCATGCAACACACACACACACACGGCGTAGATGGCGGAGAGAAGCGCTCCAAGGTGTGGTTAAACTTTACCCGTCTCGATGTGGACAATGCTCGTTGCCAAAAGTGCAATAAGAGTTTAGCATGTAAGGGCGGTAACGCAAGCAATTTGTCTAGACATTTAGCAAAAGTGCACCACAGTCAATCGGAGAAATGCACCGTTTTCGACTGTCTTTCCACGAGTAACTTTTCCACGTCAGGTATTATGTATGCTAGCAGCAACACACGGAGTTAACTCAATTATACAAACATGGGTTAATGATTAGAGGGAACTGACTTATTTATTTTGTTAAAGTTTCAGCTATTCTGTTTACAATTCTGTCATCAGATTATTTAATACGATTTGTTAAAGCACTGTTGTTTCTTTTGATGTGAAATATTATTTATTTAATTTAAATAAAAAGCAATGTAAATTTTGTTCACAATTTGTTTAGTTAATTTACCTTTTTTTTTTTCAAAAGAACCGTTAAGAGTACCGTTAAAGGACCGGATCGATAAGCAGTATAAAAGTAGTAGTACAGTTAAAACCTTAACGCATCACTGAATCACCTCTTGACAGCTTCCATGCCTCTGAATGTGGAACAGGGGCTTTTTTCATTTCGCTAAACCTCAGATTTTCATACGCAGAGGGGGAAAGGGTTTGTGTGTTTTATAGATTTCAGTGGCATTAAACTGAGATCAGCATCAACCCTCCTGAATCACTTTTAGTTTCCTGTTCATACTGTATAAAGTTGCGCAGGAATAAGTCCTAAAGTTTGGAAATAAGTTCGCATTTGGGTTTTTGAACATGTTTTCTGTCCGTAACTTTATTCCATACTGAATTTCTCAAAAACTATTGAAAGGAGTGCCACCAATGACTTTAGGATGCATCTTAATAAATGTGGTAATCAACTGATTTTTCTTACGTTTTCAAATCGAGTACTACAGGAATGAGTCTTAAAACCCGGAAATTAGTTTGCATTTCAGTAGTTCCGGGTCGCTTGTCTCAAAGCCAAGAGTCTTTGGTTGGATGTCTGAAATAAGGTCTGTGATTAAGAAATGTTCATGGTAAGTTAAATTAAATAAAATAGGTAATGTTACTAACAAATTAGTTGAATAAACGTTGAACGTTAGCTGCCTTTAGCTTAGCGTTGCTGAGTGAGTGAAGTCATGCAAAAGTGATGAAGCTTGGTAATAGCCTAACGAAAGCTATGTTCCTCTGGTGATTGCATTTACAATTTATAAAAGTAGTAGTATTTATATATCCTGCTGAACAAAACATGTAAATATCATAAACGTGGAGGACTCCCTTGCAATACTAACAACAGGGTCGGCCTACAAAAATATGTCATCACTGCACCACTCTATTACCTCTGTTTGTTCTTGGTACCAGAGAGCCAAATACAGGGTGCGTACGGGTGCTGGAAATCCTTGAAAATGCTTGAAATTGTACGAGGTGTTTTCAAGGTTTGAAAAGTGCTTGAATTTTGGGAATGGTGCTTGAATTTGGGATAAAGTGCTTGAAATTGTAAATGCTTTACTTCGCTTTTCAGATTAAAAGAAAATAAAGAAGTCGGAGCGCGCTTAATTGCTTCGCTTTTACATAAAACAGCTCCGCTCCGGCCTTCCCGCGCTATGCGCGTGACCGGCAAGTGTTTTTGTTACGTGTGTGACCTGGGCATTCTGATGAGAGTGATAGATGACAGTATGCCAGGAGGTTGCCGTTTCAACGAGCGTTGGCTAGCAGAAGACAAATACAAGCCATGGCTAAGACGAGGGTCAAGCGAAGCCAAAGAGTAGCCTCCTGCAAAGTGTGCAACAATAACGATGCGAGAGTCTGCGCTGCGCTGACGAGCCACACACCACACGAAAGGTACGCCGTAGAGCATTTTAGATTAGGCTATCGTTGCATGTAAAATACATGACACTTTTCTCTGTGCGCGGTAAAACAAGCTCGCCAAAATGGCTTCACTAGTCTGGCAGTATTTTAAGTGTCCGAAAATGACAATAAAGTAGCGGTATGCAACGTGTGTGTGAAGCAGAAATCCTGCAGCTCCACCCGCTGTGACGGACCGGTGAGCGGAGCAGAACACACATTAAGAGTTAGACCTAACACTCTTAGCTATTTTATCTACCTCTGGAACAAGCTAAACTAGTTATAAATATATTTATTCTTCACTGTCGGGTCGCTCATTACTGGATCAGTGAGCTGCAGGAGATACTGACGGGCTGTCAGGAGAGGGGGAGAGAGGAAAAGAGAGCGATATCGGTATCGGCCGATACTGATTCCAGCGATCGGCTCCAAAATTGGCGATCGGAGCATCCCTAATAATTGTATATGATATGTTTTATAATGATTGATCATGAAAGTGTTATCAAAGCTGGTAAAGTTGCAGCTAGTTTGAATGACTTTGTATACTACAGAGTAGCTTGTGAATTTACTCCAGGTGGAACTAAAGTCTGATTTAACACTTGATTATATTTCACATCATTCATCCACATCTGTAAAGTAACTAAAGGTATTAAATACATGTAGTGGAGTCAAAGTACACCATTTACCTCCGACTTATGTTTACTGCCAACCTAAAAGTACCTCAAAAATAGTAATCAATAATGTATTGAAAAGTTATTTGGCTGATTGTTTTATATTGGCTCAGCCAGGTTACATGGGATGCCCAGTCTACGTACAAATGGGTCACATATTTTGAAATATTAAACTTAGTTTTCTTTTCTAACATTTTAAATTTTTCATCCTCATGTAGAATGCAATTATGAAACACACATTTGGTTGTTTATAGCATAAAGAACATCTGATTTAATGTGAGGTAGGGAAATAATCATTTGAGTATAAGTATGTGTATATAAATATGTAATTTACAACAGCTGTAAGATGCTTGAAAAGCTTGAAAATGCACCTTGAAAATGCTTGAAAAGTGCTTGAATTTGACTTTGGAAAAGGTGTAAGAACCCTGCAAATAACACATTGATTTATTATTCATGTCTCTCCAGGGTAATAGTTCATGGTACCAAGCCACGCCCACATTATGTTCCCCTAGAAACACAGTCCCCGTCCCCCTGTGCACCCATCCGAAGCTCATGACTGATTGGTCCACATCTGAAGGCCACCTGTGCCCTTGGGCTGGAAAAAAATGTCTCCATCACGATGAGAAATTTCCCAGCGAGGCAATGTGAGCAATGTCTCCCACTTGTGCTGCTGCCTCTGGGACAGATGGAGCCATCGTAAGAGCGAGAGCAAATCTAAAATCTTTATTTTTCTCCACATACATGGCAACATATGTGCACATCCAGCAGCTGAGCTAGTGCAACCAATCATCGATTTTGACAGTTTGGACTAGATGAGGTATCATATTTACGATCTTACACTCGCATGGCTCTTCCTGCCTCCGTCACACACTCGTAAACACACAAGCACACAGGGAGACATAGTCATAAAGTGTTGTGATGAATGGCTGAAGCCTTTAGCTGGGGTTGTGTGTGCCTTATGGCGGCTGACAGATGTCAGAGCAGCCTTTAGAAAACACTGCTGGCAAAGGGCAAGTCAACCATCTATCAGGCAGATTACTGAGTTAGACCCTATGTTTCACAACCTCTCACCCTCGGACCCAATAACTTCTCACTGGAGCTGCTGTGATCAGCTGTATTACTGTCAGCTAATGGCTTATGATGTCCAGTCAATGTTAAGGATCTTTTTTAAGGTTCCTTCAATATTTTATAGCATATTTTTCTGCCACCACACAGTTCTATTGACATTTCAGTCCGGGTAATCCAAACTAACTTAAAGGGGACCTATCATGCAAAATGCACTTTTGTACGTCTTTTATACATGAATATGTGTCCCCGGTGTTCCAGGGAACTCACCAAGTGTCAGAAAACACAACCCTCTCTATTTTCCTACATACCCAAATCTCTAAAAAAGGGGCTGCAACGGATCTGATGAAAACTGATCCAGATTTGAACACTTTACTGACGTCAGGAAAGTGGCGCTACGGCTATTGGGCCAACTCTCCACCTATCAGGGCAATGTGGGGTTGGGCCACGGCCGGCCATTGCCGCTCGAAAGCGCTGGAGACGCTGTAGTACATATGCCAGGCCTGTAAGTGGCGCTGTAGTCTGCCACAAAAGCAGCGAAGAAGACTTCCCGTGCATGGTTACCATGGTTACCCTTCTGTTTATTCTCCGCTGTGGCTTTTTTTCTCCCTCCCCGAGGCAAGCGTTTGCTACTGCTGCTTCAATTCAATGCAATCCCTCCCCGTCGAGGCAAGCACTGTAATTCTCTCCGGTTAGTCCACCAGCAGATGACAAACACCCACCTCTCCGCCTCTTCCAAGGAACGAGGGGACCGTGCGGCAGAGTTTCAGTTTCAGTTTCTTTCGCCGGTCAAGATGTCCGTTAAAGTTTAAATCTTCCGGACAAAATTAGAAAAGTGCCGGTCAAAGGTCTTCTTTGTTATTTATTGAGCTTTAAAACAAATGAATAACGACTCTATATAATAATATAATAAAACATGGAGGACGGAGATCTATTTTTCTCCCCCTCTTCTGTTCAGAGCGCGCTCCCCTCTCCTGCAGGGGGGCGTGGTCAGCTGCAGCTCACAGAATCAGCCCCCTGCAAAAACAGTGCTGGAGAACAGCAAATGGAGCAAAATGAGGCATGGCTTAAAATCATGATCTGTTTGGTATTTTGAAAACAGAAACGTATAAATATACCTTATATAGGTATGGCCCTACAATATATCATTTAAATATAGCATGATAGGTCCACTTTAAAATAATAAAAGCTACATTACTCATATTATTATGTTTAATTTATAACCGATAACAGACTCCCTGTGTTAACTTTGACCCATTGCACTTTAGAGTTTTGATTTCAATGACGTTCTTGTGTTATAACGTTGTATTTTGTTGATTTCCAATTGCTTAGTTCTACTCTGCTTGTTCCACAACTGTTTATTTATTTGCTTTGCTTGCTCTGCATGCTTTGTGTCCTAAGAATGCTAATTATGTTGCTGTTGCTGTCTTTATGGGGTCTTGTTATATCACTAACTGAGCAGTCAAGGTCTTCTCAGCACTTTGGTCTTTGATGTGGGTTGTACACGTAACATGCGTTTATGTATTGACTTGTCACTTCTATTAAGCACCAAAGAAAAGATACAGGACATTTTTCTTAGTCTTATCTTTTTTTTCAAGTGTCTCTTAAACAGCAGTTAGTGGGTGTTCTGACATAGGATATATGTATTAAGATGATTTTCTCTTTCATCTTTTTGAGTGTCCTTTGATATGAAGCATCACAGACCAGCTCAGGCTTACTGAGTACACTTTACTGGCATAGGGTAACACCTTTCAGAGTTGACAAATTCAAATTTGTCAGAAAAGTATTGTTTTTATTTTGGAATGGCTTGTAGGTTTGATCTGACTGGTGTCGTAACACCAGCATGAGAAAGTTTGCCGTTTTATATTTAAAAAATGTTACAATTCCTCATACGGCAAAAACAGAATAGGTTATACCGTATATTACCCCCAGAAGTTTGACAAAGCCAATCCATCTTGTAGATGTTGAGATATTGAACTGGATATGTGTAAATGAATTGGCATTCATCATCTGATGACAATGCGTGCTGGTACAAAATGATATGCCAATCGAAGAGTTTTCGACCAAAGTAGTGGACCAACAACACTGCTGTACCTAAAAATAATAATACAAATAAATAAATGGAAAACTCAAGTATTTCTTGAACTTAGGTAATTTGACTTTTTTTTTATACAGGAACATGCAAATGGTTTTAATGGGTTTAGTACCTTGAGCATTTAGACAATTACATTAAAGGAAAACAAATCAGCAGGTAAGCAGAATTCTCTTAAACTTTTTGAAACTGAATTGATGCTACTAATAATCCATGACACTAAAAAACTATAATGTCACCTTATCATTTATACTCCGAACTTTAAAAAATCTTGCTAAACCTTCATGTTAGGAAAAGGTTATCTCCCTACTGCGAAATCAACCAACAGCTCTCTTCTATACATAGCCTTATTTTCTTTCCATTCTCTGGCAGTTTAGCAATAATACAAAACAAATGACTGTTTGTATCATATTACCAGTGATAAAGCAATACTACATTCATATCTAAACGTTGGTATGCTTTTTGTTTTTAATTTCAAAGCATTTACAATCACAAAATTCACAAGGTCAGAATGTGGTAAAAATCTACCTGGACTATCACTGTAACGCTTCAGGTAAACATGAAATTAAAGCTTTATATTCATATACAATTATGGAAACACTAAATGGTTATTGGAAATATTCTAGCATATTATTTCAAGGTAAGGAAGGGAAACAACAAAGCGAACAGGGAGCAGTCAAGGGTGGATTTCCAAAAAAGGATTGTATGTAGTGAAATATTGTAAACTTAAGTACATTTTTTTTGCTAACACTTTTGTATTAACCTCTTAAGGACGACGGTCCCCCCAGTGGACCCCCCCCACCGTTTTTTTTCTCGAGACTGTGTCTCAGGGCTTCTTACCATTTATGAAACTATTAATGTGTAGCACCAGATTAACGGGAAGAATCTCAGCTAACTGAAGATATGAACCATTTTTACCAAAACAAAACACAAGGGTAATACCAAGCCTCTGAATTAGCACTAAGCGAAAAAATGCTAACGCACTTAGCACAGAACTCAAGATAAAGATACTCCTATTACTTATCGTTACTGCACATACAATATATCCGATTAAAGCTGAGACTCCACAGATTATATAGGTATAGTATCATCACTGAGCGATCCGAACTCGCGACAGGGGAAGCAAACACAGACATCACAACACGTACCTTTACGGAGCTTTTACGGGAGATCGTCTCACCGTAGCTGTCAATCTGATCAAAAGACGTGTTCAATGGCATTAAAACGAGAAAAAACGCGGCTGAATCAGTTGATCCATAGATTAATAATGTATCTGTTGCTTTGAAAAAATTATTTATAATCCATAATTCCATTTTTATGTAAAAATCGGAGAGAAAAAGTTAGCTGCTAATGGTAGTGCTAATGGTAGCCACCAGAGTGTATGCAGCTTCCGGTTTTGGCCACGCGTCACTCTCACTCCTTATTTGTTAACGTGTTGGTGTGTATAGAACTTTCCCTCGATTCCATTGGCTCTAGCGGTGATAAAGAGATTTCATTCATCAAAATCGACCAAGGGGGGCAAGAGATAGGTCAAATCCACCCAAATGACCCCAGAAGTGGGTTTTTTTTGCTAAATCTCTCTTAAAAAGGTCAAATTTCACTTGTTTTGCATCAATCTTGATACAGGGTACTTATTATATGTTGTACTTTGGATTCCTAAAGCGTTTAGTCTACTAACCCATCATCCAAGGGTAGTTTTCACTATAAGTAAAAAATAATTTTTGGACGGACACTATAATTTACAGTTTTTTACTATGTTCAATCTGAATTTTCTTTAAAATAAAAAACATCTATATTGATTCTGACTTTTCTACATCCAACTCACAGGTTTATCATTACTTTGAGAACAAAGATTATTAATTTAACCCTTTTAGAAGGGAATATATGGTCATTTGTTCTGGGAATGTCATTTTCGAGCCTGAGACCTGAAAAACAGGCTCAGGGCTTAAGAGGTTAAAGAACTCTGAAGTTGACCTCTTGTAGTCCTTGCCATCTTTGACTGTTGTAATAAAGTAAGTATTTCCACTTGACGTAAATCTTCCTGCAACATTAGAATTAACAATACTTCCATGTGTCATGACCATTTCCAACCATTGTTCTTCCTCTCCTCTCAGACAAACAGGCCTCCTGGTGATGGGACCAGAGCACAGTGACAGTTACCTGCTGTATAAGAACACCATGGAGAGGAACAATGTCCCCATGGTGGTTCTGACCCCTGAAAACTTCAGCCAGCACATCCCCAATGTCATCCTGGCTGAAGGAGATGGAGCGCTGGTGGATATAAATGCTGGAGTCCTGTATGCTGACCGTGCACTCAAGACTGTACAGGTACTGCACAGAAACTGCTGATTGAGCATTGGGCATGTTTGCTTAGGGTACTAAGTCAAGGCCAATGAGTTCCATTTATGACATGATGTGGACCTAGGACTGAGAGCCCATTTACACGGGAACGAAACGGGTTGTATCCGCATAGTTTCTCTTGCGTATAGCCCTTTCATTTACACGAGGCCGTAACAAAACGATAGAAACGGACCCCGCAAACGATAACGGGTCCCAAGGTGGATAGATCTGCAAACGGAACGCTCTGGGGGGTCAAACGGCTCCGTGTAATCGCCTCTATACGATCATTTCCCGATAGATGAAGCCATAGCCCCGCCTCTCCCCATCTCTGCTGCTCACTGCTGTAGCATGGTCAGTAGCTACTGTCAGTAGCTACTGCTAGTGCTACTGCTACTGACCATGCTACAGATGTTGGTACAAAATCTACAGCTCCTCTACCACAACCATCAGCAACAAGTGGACATGGAGAATTACATGAACTACTACATGTTGCTAAATCCACCGCGGGGCATAAACAGAAGGGCAACCATGGCAACCATGCTCCGGGGTCTTCTTCGCTGCTTTTGGTGTATTTTGTCTGGCATATGTACTACAGCGTTTCCAGCGGGTCGAGCGGTCTCGTGTGAACAGACACGTTAAATGAATCGAATGCGTGTGAACGGAAGACTTTTTGAAAACACATATGGTGCGTAAACGCAAACGTTCCCGTGTAAAGGCAGCCTGAGCATAGGGCTTCAATAGTTAGGAGCACCAGGCAGTGCAAGTTAATTTTTTGCCACACTATTTAATAAGGCGTTTAGCTAGCTTACTAGCTTACATTTTCTCTATATCCTACCGTTAGCTTTAGCCTACATTCCCAAATTAATTTTTTGTACGCATGTTGTTACTGTATAAAGGTTAACCCTCCTACAGTATTCAGCTCTCAAAGGAGACCGAGCACCAGAGCGCAATGTGCAGTGAATGAGTGAGAGTTACTTTTTTGCCACACTATCTAATAAATCGTTTTGCTAGCTTACCTTTTTTCCAAATCCTAACGTTACCTTTAGCCTACTTCTATTTGCTAATTCATTTTTGTAGGCATATTGTTACAGTCTACAGATATCATGCCGCTCTCTCACTGATAGGCAAGAGGCACGCCCTCTTTTTAATATACTGTTCAGATCAATAGGACCGTTTTGCTTTCATTCAGTTAAACTAGCCCTTTCGTTAATTCATTTAGAAATAGAAGGCTCTCTTTCTCCAGTGTCAGATTGGTAAACGAACGCACACTTTATCATCTGACTGCTTCTGTTTCTTTACCTGTGTGACATTTTTATTAAATAATATTGCAGTGTTTGGATCTCAACCACTATTCGGCAAGTGCAATGTCATATCTGACAGAACTGTTGGACAGTGCAACAGTAAAAGGAAATCCAAGTTGGGATTAGCTGTACTTGTCTTTTAAATTGCCTATATGAATTTAATCATTAGTGTGATTGAAGTCCAATCAAGAGTAATCATGGAGGTCTAGAAATTGCATTAAACTTAAACGATTTTTTATCTTGAGTTTCTTTTTTTTCTTTTGTATTATACTTTCCTTGGTTATCATTAAAATGCACAATTGATATACATCCTCCACATTTTAAAAGACCCGGACCTTTCAGATAGATTAGCCAGTGTACTTTTAAAAAAAACATTTAGATAAAACATAAAACAAACTTTGTGTCTGTTCCAGGGTGAAGGCAGAAAGCCGTGTCTTGACTTAAGAAATCTGTGCCATGCAACATTTACAAAAGAACTCGTTAGAGAGTTGGGCTGAAAGATACCAAGATGTGGATAATTGAACATATTTTATGCCCATTGTTTTAATCTAATAATAGTGCACACCAGCAATAAATTCACATTACTGGACTGCCAGCACTGAGGAGAGGCACTGGAGGAGAACAGAGCCATCCATGGCTGCCAGGTCAAGCACAAAACTCTGCTTTGTTATTTCAGTGAGGTGCCATTTTCAATTGACTGGACAGATTGTTCAGCCGCTCTATTGTGAAGCAGCAGTCAATTATACATTAAAGCTTGTAGTGATAGATGTGTTGTAGATCCGTAGATTATTTCCTTGTGCATTTTCATGCCTTGACTCTTTAATAGCCTCTTGGCTTTAGTATTATATCCTAATAGATGTCACTATTGATCTGTCTTATTTCATTATCTCTGGTTTCTTAATGTTTTCTTTCTCTTTCTCTCTTTTTGTGTTCTCTTTCAAAATAAACTCAGGGCTGTATGCAGGGTCAGCTCAAGTCTGTGTGATGACCACACACCAACCTTCTTTAACAAGTCACTGCAGTGATGTTGGCTAGCTTAACTGTGCACTGTATGGGACACAAAAGCCAAAGTCTATGGGTTTTTTTCCATTAGCTTTTAGTTTGGCAAACATTAAGCTCTGTGGCAAACAAACCTTTATGACTAACACGTTTTGTTTGGCAAGAACACTTTAAGTTGTAAATGCAACAGCCAGAAATAAATAACTAACATAAGGCTATAAATGAACTACACCCTTAAATGGGGCCAAACCTGCAAGCTGGTTCAGGCAGTCTACTCGAGCAACAATGATACATTTACACGTGATGCTCCTCGTTCCTCTTACTTGTGTTCGGCTTGATGATGTTCAATAGTTTAAATTAGTCACTTGTTAACAACAGCTATTTTTAAGAGATATATTAACTTTTTAACCAAAAACTCATTTATATATCATTGACTTTGAGCAAACCAGAAGTGCCAAAATGCTAACTCATTCAGCAGTTAGCCTTTAAACTAACTTTGCCTTCCCATGCTAGCGATGGATAAAAATGGCTATTGAACAGCTATAGGAGTAAGTGAATTTATGGGAATAGTAAGAAGTGTTTAACTGTACTGACAGGCAGCTGCACCTGCAAATCATTTTGTTTCTTGACCAGGGTTTAAAAAAATAAAAAGTGTTGTTATTTAGCTTAATAAGTGTGTGTACCGGTGCATGCATTGTGGTTACCTGGTTACGAGAAAGTCCTCATGTAGAGATAGCTAACATATTGTATAATTGGGGCGGTAGTGAGAGCACATTTCTTATTGTCAACACTAATGTGTCTGAATGTAGAAATAGTCCAATGGTAAGCTCTGGAAATCAACATACAATATTTAGACTCAGAGATAACACTTAGGCTCCGTTTACGCAGAGACGGAACGGGTTGTATCCACTACAGTTCTCTATCGTATGGACGGTTCGTTCACACGAGGCCGTAACGGAACTGCGGAAACGGAGCCCTCAAACGCTAACGGGTCCCAAGGTGGGTAGATCTGCGGACGGAACGCTCTTGGGGGTCAAACGGCATTGCTGATGTGTTTCACCAACAACAACAACAGTGTTCCGAGTGTTTCGAGCCAGGTCCCGGTATCTCGCAGGACAGTGCACCCAGCAGGAGCCTCCAGCAGACCCCCCCCACGCTTCCCTCGTCCCTTGGAAGAGGCGGAGAGGTGGGGGATTTGTATCTGCTGGTGGACTACCGGGGAGAACGTCCTGCTCAGGAGCCAGGCTCAGAGTTAGTGGCAGCGGGTGCGGTGCACCTGCCTTTTACAGCAGGAGCACACGCTCGCCTCGGGGAGGGAGAAAAAGAGAAACAGAGGCCGCCGAAACAGGCAGAGCCCTGCCTCTCCCCACCTCTGCTGCTCACCCCCGCGTCACCGCTGAATCCACCGCGGAGAATAAACAGAAGGGCAACCATGGCAACCATGCTCGGGAGGTCTTCTTCGCTGCTTTTGGTGTATTTTGTGGTGGAAGTACAGCGCCACTTACAGGCCCGGCATATGTACTACAGCGCAGCGGCGCAGGATTCATTTCAGAAGTGGGGGGGCAAAAAGTGCGTGTGTATGTGACATACTTGCCAACCCTTCCGATTTTCGCGGGACACTCCCGATTTCATTGCCCTCTCCCGGTTTCCTCCCGGGGTCATATTTGTCCCGCATTTCTCCCGATTTCTGACTAAATCTGATTTGTGAGTCACGACCTGTTTCATTCTAACATAACGCTCCAAATGTTACTGTTTCCACTCGGACTTTAATACAGCTACACCATTGTTTGGTTTCCATGGTAACGCGTCTCTTTAGTAGCGCGCGCAACTGAAAGTCTGAGAGGGTGTTCAGCACGGGGAGGAAGATAGTCACTGAAAACAGAACAAGAATGGACAACTCTACCCTCTGCTCACTCCTTTCCTGTAAATTAAACTATACAGGTCCAGCACACACATATGACAGCGCAGTTGCTCCATCATTCCATCACTTATTTTTTCCTGCTCAATACGCTCTTGTTTGACAAGCTGAATGTTGACTGTTGTTTGACTGAAGTAAGCGCCCTTTTTTTTAACACACTCTCTGTGAAAATGAGACTTTTCGTGGCTGTCCAGGAGAGGCTTGGGCACTTTTTCCAGTTATTAACTCCGGTATTTACAAAGCTGTCATCTCCACATTTGGAGAAAGTTACAAGCCGTTTGACAGCAGCAAATCTGCATATTTCACAGAAGGCCCGTTTAGTGGTTTTGCAAAGAATTAACCACTCTCTGTTTTTGTACCATTCTGCTTTGAAGTACCTTTCTCTTTGCCCAGACGATCTAGCGGTCTCCTTTTTATTTACAATTAGCTGTGCAGCTTTACCCTTCTCAATGTCCCGACAACAAACCTCCACGCAGTCGTAACCAGCCTGTTTCGGTTCAACGATGCCGGCGGTTTTGACAGTCTCAGCTGTCGCAGAGCTGCTGCTTTGGGGTTCATCTGGCTGCGCTGGTTCTATGGTTGAAGGGCCAGGCTCCAGAGTTGTGGATGTCAGGGATGTCACATTGACGTTGTTGAAGTTCAGTTTTCTTTGACTGTATTTTATTATCTTATGCGCTGGTTCTTCTGACATGTTTGCAATATCAATAGCTAAGTTTATCTTTCTAGGTTAACGGCTGACACAGAACAACGTAACAAAGAAACAAATCTAAGCTCTTTTATTGGTTGTAATTTACATGGATAGCCTACATTTGAATGGTGGGACAATGTCCTCTTTGATTGGATTAAAATGTACATATTCTTCCTGTTATGTTTGCCTGCTTTATTTTACCTAATGCAATATATGAGCCTCTGTCGCTGCCTGTAGCTAATGAGATTGTCTTATCATCTCCTCAATTTGCAAAAATAACAAAAATATACACAGCTAGATCAGATGGCGTTCTTTTTAGATGTGACTTTAGAGTAGAGGGGAATTATTGAAACGGGATGTACTGTTCCGCAGCATCCGCCGCTGCGAAAATGTGGGGCAAGGCTGTAAAGTGGGGGGGCCAATGGCCCCTTGGCCCCCCTGCTTCCGGCGCCCCTGCTACAGCGTCTCCTGCGGGTCGAGCGGTCCCGTGTGGACGGACACGTTTATTGAGCCGATTCCATGTGGACTGAAGACTTTTTTGATATCGAATTCTGTTTGTTTTCGTTTTTCTTTCCGTGTAAACGGAGCCTTATTTTCATGATATCAGGGAAGTAACAAGTGTTCTTTTGTTCTCTCTTCCCAGGGGCAGTTTCAGAAGCTGGGTGGGGTCATAAGAGACAAAGAGAAGGTGACGGACATCACGCCTGGCCCTGTTGTGACAGTTTCAACCTCTGCTGGTGTTTATCGAGCCAAGAGCTTGGTGATCACCGCTGGACCCTGGGCTAATAAACTGCTGGCCCACATTGGATTGCAGTTGCCACTGAAGGTATTGCAATAATGGTATATTATATTATAATAATAATACATTAAAGTTATATAACACTTTTCGCATACAGTAGACACTGTCATAGAAGCATACATCATAAACACACATACAGGAATAAAAAAAAGAAAACGAATGAAAATAAATTATAGGTACCAGCATTTTAGATATCATATACAAATAAGATAAAATAAGAGGTACTTTATTGATCCCAAATTGGGACATTTTTGACAGGGAGCTGCTGCAACAGGCTGCCACCTAGCACAGCGCCAACAGCGGAATGATATATATATATAAATACACAACAGAAGTGAAGTAGCACACAGAAATAAAATTAATACATTATAAGATAGTATACTATATATTGCAAGAGTTTCACAGTCTTCGGTAGGAAAGTAATATACTACAATATTCTGGAAAGACATGTGCCCTATGAAGCTTGGTATGTGTAAAGTAGGGGTGCAACAACTAATCGACTTAATCGATTAAAATCGATGACCAAATTAGTTGCCAACTAATTCAGTCGTTGATTCGTTGGTGACGTCATCACGTGTGTTTTACGCGCAGTTAAGCTCCAACGTTATCGGTCTTGGACGAGATTTAATGATAAAGTTGTCCATAAAAAACTATTATATTCGTAAAGTGTACAGCTAATATATATATATCAATTAATTTGAACTAAAGAGTTCTCATGAACTAAGTTCTGATTAACCTTTGTGGGAAAAGTACTGCGGTGTGAAAGCGCCTCATGATTAGAGGTAACTGAGTTATTTATTTTGTTAAAGTTTCAGCTATTCTGTTTACAGTTCTGTCATCACATTATTTAATACGATGTGTTAAAACACTGTTGTTTCTTTTGATGTGAAATATTATTTATTTAATTTAAATAAAAAGCAATGTTAATTATGTTCACAATTTGTTTAGTTAATTTACCTTATTTTTATTTCAAAAGAACCGTTAAGAGTACCATTAAAGGACCGGATCGATAAGCAGTATAAAAGTAGTAGTACAGTTAAAACCTTAACGATCCGAATAATCGATTATCAAATGAGTCGTTTGTTGCAGCCCTAGTGTAAAGTACGTACAATTGTTTTTCTTTACTCATTTGTGTGTGGGAAAAGGTGTGAATGTGTTGTATGTGTGCATCTTTCATATATTATGCCTCAGCAGAATAAGCCACACATTATAAACTACGTTATCAACTTGTCCATCTCAAAGCTAATATTATCACTAGGATGCTGCCTGTCCCCCCTAAATGGCTTCCACATGGCACAGAAACAAAAGCATTACTCCTCCATATTTAATCAGCTCAGAGGCCTTAGTCAGCAAGGCACCCTTTTCCATCTTGCAAAATGCCACACAGCCAGAAAAGAGTAGGTGATGGGAAAACAAGCAGACAGCTGTTAAGAGTGAAGAATTGGAGTTGATATTGGAATTGCATTATTCAGGCCAGCAGCAGGCTGGGGGGGGCCTGGGGAACGGCATGCCTGAGTGAACTGGTAGAAAAGCGCAGGCTCTGAGCACGCCGGAGCACTTCTGTCTGCATTTTTATCGTCCCCGGGAATGAGTGCACGGCCGGTTAGTTCATTACACTGAAAGCTCCTGAACAATGTGTCCTTATTACTGCCACTCTCTGATGGACGTCATTTGTACAACCATGTGTACATTTCATTAAATCCCAATTCTCACTTCACCACTGCAGAGCTACTTTTGTAATTGCACTTCTATTAGAGAGAATAAGAGATGAGGAGGATGGAGTAGGTGTTGTACTATAAGGTAAGCTTGCAAGCTGCTAATGTTATGCCAGTCAATCAGTTGTAAGGGCTTTTCTGACATCTATAATTAACATTAATTAGGGACCTTAATGCACTATAACAAATGCAAATAAATTAAATTACCACTTTGTACCCCAGCTTCACGCCATGATTCCAGCGTAGATTTAAACCATGAATTATGACACAGTGAAAAGGCAAAGCAAGCTAAGGTATCCGCACAAGCTAATGTATTGCTCTGACTGGAGACCACTGGACATCACTTAGAACTTGAGATGACAAATGTTCTGCATGTATACTAGTATTTAATTGTATACCATGACATCAAAAAATATGAAAAAGGTTTCTGTGCCTAGTCCCTAACCAAAAGGATACTGGCCAACAGGAGATCCTTTCCAATAACACGAGGGGACAAACCTCGTTGTCCTCATTCTGGGAAAAAAATATATTTATATTTATATATATATAATATATATAAGTTTATTGATGGACAGGATCTCTTAATGTGTAATTATGACAAGAGGAATCCTTACACAATACATAGAAGTTTGAGCCTATAGCATTGAATCATAAAATTAAAAGATTAGAAAAAGGACATTTTATTATTTTCTTCATAGTCATATGTTAACAGACACCGACAAACAACCCCAATGACATAATTAGTTATTTTGTAGAGGATGTGTTGAGTTGGTAGGCTGTCCTTGTAAAACCCTCTGCATTTCATCAAAAGGATGCACAGTAAACACTTTGGTCGATCATTCAGGAGGACATGGTATTAATGGTTTTCTGGTTTTCACTACTCTAGGTGCAGAAGATCAACGTGTGCTACTGGAAAGAGAAGGTTCCTGGAACATATGACGTGAAGAAGCGCTTTCCCTGCTTCCTGCAGACTGAGGGTGAGGAATCTGATAAGCACATCTACGGCCTCCCGTCCAACGAGTACCCCGGCCTGGTTAAGGTATGTCTGACTCTCCAGAAGCGAATCCCTCCTTTATGTGCAGAACCATCAAATATTCATGGTATTAATATGAAATGGACTGTATTAATGATGATTACATTTTTAATGCAGTTTGTCTATCGGTTTTTTAGATGATCACTTGACTTCATTTTTTATACACTATGTGTACCCTGAAGCAAACCCAGCTTTCTTTATCTAATTAAAGGGGCCCTATTATGCTCATTTTCAGGTCCATATTTGTATGTTGTGCTTCTGCTGTAATGTCTCCATGCTTTAATGTTCAAAAAGTTCTTTATTTTTCTCATACTGCCTGTGCTGCAGCACCTCTTTTCACCCTCTGTCTGAAACCATAGCCCAGTCTGCTCTGATTGGTCAGCTGGCCGGCTCTGTTGTGATTGGTCAACCACTCAACGATGTGTCGCAAATGTCCCTGACCTTAGCCTATCATGTACAATGTGTTAACCAATATAAGCGCGAGTATAACAAGGAGTCCAATGGAGGCGTTCAGGCAGGGCGAGAATACTCCCTTCGGAAGGAACTTTGGGAATTTAGCCTTTGCAGTCTATTTACAAGCACAACAACTTCCTAGAGACCCCAAAAAGCATAATGGGACCCTTTTAAGGCACACACACACACACACACACACACACACACACACACACACACACACACACACACACACACACACACACACACACACACACACACGAGAGCATTTTATTTTTCTTATGATATATCCCATGATAGAATGCCAAAGTATGTGTTGTCTTATAACCATAATATCATTTAACTGACCATTATACAGACATATTTAGATATACATTATTCATTATTTTATAATCAACTTGAACCTGGAAGCTTTTGACTTAAATAACAACTATATGAACAGTTCAGCTTGAATTCTCCATTCACTACATTGCGGGGGTTTGCACCTACGGACTGTCTTGGGAGCATATAAGCAGTTAGCTATTGTTACCTAAACCAAGCAACCTTTAGAGTCCAGCTCAGGTAGTGCTTTATAGGTTTTCATTTTCAGATACAGCTTACAGTTTCTTAGTTTTAGATATATATCTTGTTGTTTGGAGGGAGGGCACTATATTTGTTGGTGGACTAACACACAGGTAATTGGGGCTGAAAATAATAAACTGTACAGAGAGGGAAAAGGAAACACGTGCTCAGAACGTTACTGAAAATAACATCACCTTAGCATTTGAAGGGAATCGTTAAACCACATTTTAAATGCATCGTCTGTCAAATATAAAATAAAAACAGTAGCACTGTAGTTTGAAGCCATTCCTCTGTAATGTGGGCTCCTTCTCCTGCTCAAAAATACATCTTCTTATTTATTTAGCCTGTGATTTGTGATTTATGTATCCATCCTTACTTTTGGTAACTTGGTTGAGTGTCGAAAAAGTCCACAATGAAAACATTCAGGGGGCTGAATACTTTTTTATAAGCACTACAATATAATTCAATTGGCAATATTTTTTTATGTTTATGTATTAATATAAAATAATACTTTTTAGATTTTGTACTGCAACCGAAAATAAATAATGTATTTCTATACCAAAACATTATTTATTTAATTGATTTGGTGGCTACAACTGCTCTAAAGACTTCCATTAGGAGATATGCCGCACTTTCCAAAGGAATGCAAATATCTAAAAACAAATGTGCCAAAACACACGAAGAAACATCTTCACCGACTTGACAGCACAGGCACAGCATTTGGAAACAATTCCGATATCATTGGAGATCTGCCGTAAGTGAAGTAGCTAAGGTAGCTAACCTAGTCATTTAAAATATATTGATGAAAAAACAACGTCAAAAAGCACTCCGGTCCCAGCTGTCACTTGTTGTGTCCCTCTTTCTATTGTGTTTTGAGCTTCTTTGTTTTATTGGCAGGTTTTTGTATTTGGAACGTTTCATTTATGCAGTGCTTTTAGTAAACGCTCCACACGTTTCGCCAAGTTAGTGAACGTTTTATGAATGCTGCGCATGTGTTGTCAAGTGGGTGAAGATTTTTCTTAATTTGCATGTGTTTGGGCATATTTGTGTTTTTATATTTGCATCGTTTTAGAAACTGCAGCTTATTCCTTCTAACCTAAGTGTTGTGGGCCTTGTAGCACGTTCGCACCGGCCCCACACCGTAATGTAACTCTGCTCCATCAATATGAATTGTTCAGTATGACAACATTTTGCTGGAATGCTGCTTTTGAGAATCACATTGCCACGGTAGAACGATTGCAGTCCAATCATAAATAACAATCCATGCCGCAAAGTCAACTGTAAAATAGGATTTGTCCTCCCTCTACATCAGATTAGTGGTGGGGGTTGTGCTGGGCTTCATGTCATCTGATAACACATCTATATGTCTGGCGTTATGGTGGGGCAGCAGGAGCTCACAGACTAATAGCAGACCACAGAGAAGAGAGGGCTGGACAGATGCTGCCACGTCACATTATCCACTGAGACGCAGTCACCAAAGCTACTGTATGTCCCAATGTTGGGACCATTTTACATCATTTGGAAAAAATATAAAAATGAGGCAGGAGAACAAAAAGTGTAGATCCTTGCGGGGTTTTTATGGTTTTTGCTGCATGGACCTGACAGAAAAACATCAAACCTCTTTTTTCTCCCACTGCCTCCTCGCTGTACTGACAGGAGCCGCTTTGGAAGTATGGAGTGTGTTCAGTCACTCCTCCTCGCTTTAACAAAAGTATTAATAAGGGACATGACATTATTTCCTGCCTTTTTACTCAACTCTAAATAAAATATTACCTGATGACATACTAATACTCCTTCAGCTGTATAAACAGAGTATTGGGATTCTGTCCTCATACAATACTCGTTACTTTAAAGATTCACTTTTCTATAAGGTATGTTGTCCAAATTTCAAGTTTTTCTCTAAAATGTCACTTTTCTATGAGACTCATGCATTCTATTTGTTGTGCTTATTTTCACATTAGATGGGCGTAGGGCGTCAAACTCTTTTTGAACACTTACATTAAATTAGCTTTTTATTTTGTAGGTATTTGAAACCAGTGCAGACTGGGCTCTGGTTTCAGACAGAGGGTGAAAAGAGGTGCTGCAGTATGAGAAAAATAAATAACTTTTTGAACATTAAAGCATGGAGACATGTCACAGTAGAGGCACAAAATACAAATATCAAACATGAAAATGAGCATAAGATATCCTCTTAAAAATGCATGCAAAAACTTCAAATGTAATAAATACTACTATAAATAGAAAAACTGAATATAGTTAGATGGTGTTATACCATGAACAAAGAAAGCATGGTTGCAAAGCTTTTGCTGTTTCATGGAGAAGTAAATATGATTTTTTGATGATGTCATTGTGTGTGCAGATTTGCTACCATATCGGAGGTGAGACAGACCCAGACCACAGAGACAAGCAGACAGACAGGTCTGATATCGGCATCCTCCAGCGCTACGTAGCCCGCTGTTTTCCTGGCCTCATCCCCGAGCCGGCTGTGGTGGAGAGCTGCATGTACACGGTCAGTCAGCACAACAGTCAGCACAACATGGACCATGCTCATTAAAAGGGAATGCTAGTGAATTGTCAACGGGGGGGGGAGCCTCGCTGCGGGGCGAGTGGCCCGATCTGCCCCCTTCGGTACCGGCCCATCGGGATTCGTTCCGAACGTCCCGATGGCCAGTCCGCCACTGCCGTGATTAAATGCCATATCATGTTCCAAACCACGTCATGGATTATTTCTGAAACAGTGTGGAGCTCAAATGCTTTTTCTCTTGCGGGTTTACTACAAGGTGAGTCCCTTTTTATATTTCTTGCTTTTTTACACATGCTCTCTCCAGTACAGGTTAGCTCTGAGTGTTAGCGATGCTTGCTAATGTAAACAAAGACCATATTACCTCCAAAACAGTCAGGCATTGTTTCTGATAGCAACGTTTCTGATAGTGCCGTTGGTCCGCATTGCCGATATTACGTCATGTCGGCAGCAAATCTGGATCAGCTCCGTTGCACCCCCGCTTTTAGAGATTTGTGTACGGAGGAAAAGAGAGAGGGTTTTATTTTCTTACAATTTGTGAGTTCCCTGACATCCTATTTTTTGTTTTATTTTCAACACAAATTTGTTTTGTTAATTTTTTTTCAAATGCAGAATACCATTTGTAGGCCCATTATCTCTCCAGCTCCACAAAAGTCTATTCGAAGTGGTATTTTAACACATATGTGGCATGCTATCAAAATCAGTCATGAAAGAGGAGAATCTTAGCTTTCTGATAATATCCTTATTGTGTTTGTTCTCCAAATATTCAGCAATATATTTTACATAATTCAATTAATGTTACTAAGACAGGATTATGAGAAAAAGGCGTTCAAAGTTTGTTGGAAAATGCCTTATCATAGTTACATTAAGAGGGGTATCAGGGCATAATATTGTGGGGGCATAGTACCCCTCGCCCCCCCTTAGGACCACAACTGGATTAGCTATGATTCTGGAATCTTTGTTTGTCTATAGCAGGGGGGTCAAACTAAATGTCATCGTGGGCCACATCAGCATTATGGTTGCACTCAAAGGGCCGGTTGTAACTTTCAATCTCAATCTCAATCTTTGTTTATTTATATAGCACATTTAAAGTGGACCTATCATGCTATATTTGAATAATATAGTGTAGGACCATACCTACTGTATATAAGACATATTTATACTTTTTTTTTTTCAAAATACTAAACAGATCATGCATTTTAGCCATGCCTCATTTTGCTCAATTTGACAATTTCTAGCTCTGTTTTAGCAAGGGTTGATTCAGTGAGAACAGCACCACCTACAGGCCTGGCATATGTACTACAGCGTCTCCAGCGCTTTCGAACGGCAATGGCCGTGGCTGTCTCCTCCTGATTGGTGGAGTTGGCCCAATAGCCGTAGCGCCACTGTCCTGACGTCAGGACAGTGTTCAAATCTGGATCAGTTTTTATCAGATCCGTTGCAGCCCCTTTTTTAGAGATTTGGGTATGGAGGAAAATAGAGAGGGTTGTGTTTTCTGACACTTGGTGAGATCCCTGGAACACCGGGGACACATATTCATGTATAAAAGACGTACAAAAGTGCATTTTGCATGATAGGTCCCTTTTAAAACAACCTTGAGTTTGACACCCCTGGTCTATAGCCAAGCTTGTTAGCAGGCTATACCTCTCATAATGTTCAACTTCAGCTCATTGTTCACAGAGTCATGTATCGTATCGATGCCTCGAGGAAGAGAGTTGGTGAGGGTGTGTTTCATATTCTGAAAGCTAAGACTTTAAAAAAAAAAAAATTAAATCAACCTAAACCCCAGATTTTTCACATCAATCCTCATTTATCTCGGAATGCACCGTTGCAACATCCGACTGATTTTGCTAGGGCGGGTCATATATAGCATCTACAATTATTGTACTTTCTGTGATTTGAATATTGCACTTGTACATATTGCAGTTTTGATAACATTTGTATTCATTGTGCGGCCCTATACACAGCAGATACTGTGGGTCATCAGGAAATATAAAAAAACGAAAGGAACGAACCTAAGGGACCAAAGAAATCTCCCTAAACTCGCTTTTAATTTTGATCACTGCTCAGGATAAACACCAGGAAACGACTTCCTTGTATATAGGTGCCTTGTGACAGGAAGAATACAAGATGGAAGTTTCTTCTCTTCAACAACATGTTAAGTTCAGCAGCAGAAATAATGTTCTCTTTTGCGCCAAAACGTTCCCAACATTCACATAGCTATGTTCCGACATATATTGACCATTTATGCAAAACAGATCAACTTTAGCGAGAATAATTCACATCTCTAGTCTTAGTAAATAACCCGCTAAATTGAAAAGTTGCCCCTAATGGGTAATTAGTTGGAGGCTCAGCAACCATCTCCAGATTGATTTGTGTGAAAGAAGCACAGTTTCACTTTCTCCCTTTTTCTTCTTGAGATGTTATCTAAACTTTTCTTACATTAACAACTGTATCTTTGTAATGGGAAACACCTTTTGATGACTTCTAACAACATACTTGAATCAGTTTTATCCCAAAATACTCCTCACACATCTTCTTGACCCTTAAATGGCCATTCAATATTTTAGAAAATTAATTGTTTCTATTTTCTACATATCACCCTTATACCCATATGACTCTGTTATTACACTCATGTTACACTATTATTACACCTATAATACAGTGATATGACGCCCATGTAACGCTAATATTACACTGTTATGAGACCCATGTTAATCCCATTTAAATGTGCTATTGTAATGGACACTGCAGCTTTTGGAGTCACTAGACTGTTCATGGTGTGTGTGTGTGTGTGTGTGTGTGTGTGTGTGTGTGTGTGTGTGTGTGTGTGTGTGTGTGTGTGTGTGTGTGTGTGTGTGTGTGTGTGTGTGTGTGTGTGTGTGTGTGTGTGTGTGTGTGTGTGTGTGTGTGTGTGTGTGTGTGTGTGTGTGTGTGTGTGTGTGTGTGTGTGTGTGTGTGTGTGTGTGTGTGTGTGTGTCACAGCGAGCAGCTTTCACCACGATCACATATTGAAGCTGTGGGAGAACATCATTTCTGTGACCTTGTCCAAAGCCCCTGAAAATCCCGGCAGTCACGCTTTTTTTTTCACTTAACAGCTACTGTTTTTTTCCATTAGCAGTTCTTTTTAGAAGAGGACATAGAGTTAAATCGCCTGTGTCTCTGCAGTGGATGTAAATAATTGCCTTTGTTAGACCAGACGTCATTAACTCATTCAGTTAAACACATGTTCCACAAAGACGTTGACAGGACTGGAACTGTAATGTGTGTGTATGTTTGTACAAGCAAATTGGGAAAAAGAGGCAGAATCAGCCCCTTGGTTCCAAACCTGAACAGTTTAGCTTTCAAGGTCCACAAGTGTCTGTTGGAGTCATTTTTTATTCTTTTTTTTGCAGCTAACGCCTGACAGTCATTTTGTGCTGGACTGCCACCCTGCCTACAGCAACATTGTGTTTGGAGCTGGATTCTCAGGTGATTCACAATACAACACTTTCAAACATAATGAAGTCAATGTAAAGGGTCATCTTTGACAAATCATATGTGTTAGGATAGATTATCCAACTTTTAACATTGCCAGGTATCAAACAACTACTTGTTATGTATTGGGAAAGTATACATGTCAAATCCTCTTGGTTATCATTAGTTTTTTCTTCTCTAGTAGATGCTGTCGCCTAGTTACAGCTGAGCCCAGCAGCATTCCAGCAGTGAGAATGTATTTATTTATTTAGGCAAGGCAAGGCAAGTTTATTTATATAGCACATTTCAACACAAGGTAACCCAAAGTGCTTTACAAAAATGAAAGCCATTGTGAACTGTTCAGTTATACAAAACCGACGCTGTGACACACATTGAACTGTAATATGCTCACTGTTCCAATGATAACAAAGTGATATAACAGGAACTGTTTACCATGGTTAGCATTTGCTAGCATAAAACACAAAGTAGAGCTAATGCTGATTTGAAATTGACCTTTTTTTCTAGTTCTTTGGTAGGTAAACTGGAGTATCAAACAAAACCTTTGTCATTGCTATTTATTCTCTGGGAGCCATGAATGTCAGTATGAAATATGTAAAGCATCAATTGGATGTCAAAATAATTTAGTCTGAATATAGAGTTTGAGATGGGGCCCCATTTATTCCTATAAAAGTTGCTCAGTGGCACATGAAGCCAAAATCTCAAGTACCTGTATCTGGGCCCATAGAGCAAGCGCACTTCCATTTTCTATAAACCCCACCTCCAATCCACAGGTCACAGCCATTTTTTATTTAGTCAAATTAATGAATGAGGGAAATCTTGGTTCGGCTTTAATCACATCTTACCAGAGGTGGGACCAAGTCATTGTTTTGCAAATCCGAGTCAAGTCTCAAGTCTTTGCGCTCAAGTCCGAGTCAAGTCTCAAGTCTTTGCGCTCAAGTCCAAGTCAAGTCTCAAGTCAGGATGGGCAAGTTCAAGTCAAGTCCAAGTCCTAAACTTTGACAAAACAAGTCTTAAACAAGTCCTTATGTGCTTTTCAACAAATGTAATGACATCGATCAACAGAATAATACTTAATAATCAAACTGCTCTTTATTAGTCACATTAATCATTTAATAATCTTTTTTCTCTCTGCTGGTAAAGTAACGTGTTTTCTTCTATTGTAAGAGGGATCAGTAAGGTAAGGCTACCGTGACGGTTTGATTCAGAAGGAGTTTAATGTATAAGATCCCTGATGTTGAGGTGACCAGAATGTTTATTTCCACTGTGTACAACATGTTATAAGGGACCCACGATCTATCTTTATGCAAGGGATAATGTGCAGCGAGGCGTCTCTATGGGGAAAAGAACACCTGAATCTAGATCCCTCTGCAGGTGGTACTTTAACTGTATTTTGATGATAATACTTTTGTACTTTTACTTGTAACATTTTGAATGCAGGACTTTTTATTGTAACCAAGTATTCCTACACTCTGGTACTTTTACTCAAGTACAAGATCTGAACTTCTCCCACCTCTGACAATACATCCTGAGTGGTTACCAAAAAAAAAACCCTGCTCTGAAGGTTATTTTCATTTGACAAATCCTGCACTCAGCTCTGCTTTCTCCAATATCATTGAAATGCAGCCAGATGCTGCTTCTTTTTTCGGTTTTCGCTAATTTCTTGACTTTTTCCGACGCGCTTGCATTTAAATCCGGCTCCCCGTCTCCCCGTCGCTCTGTGTAGCTGGCCTGTACCACTACACTTGCTGTCTTTGGAGCGTCTGCCCCCCACCCTTCTTTCACATAATGGTATGATCCTAGTGTGTCCTCGCATATGATTGGCCGCATGGTGGCTCAGCAAAATAAAGTCCCGCCCCTGCCTGCAAGGATTCTCAGCAAGAGTTGCAGCGGCTGGAGATTCTGTTCTCCCCGACGGGAGTCTGCTCTTCTAACGGCATCTCGCGATCGGCGTGTTGGAGACCTCTGAATTAAATCATCAAGTCACCTCAAGTCAGAAGGCTCAAGTCCAAGTCAAGTCCCGAGTCATTAGTGTTCAAGTCCAAGTCGAGTCGCAAGTGTTTTGTGATTTTGTCAAGTCGAGTCCAAAGTCATCAAATTGGTGACTCGAGTCTGAATCGAGTCCAAGTCATGTGACTCGAGTCCACACCTCTGCATCTTACAACCTTTAGGACCAAATGATTTCAATAGGACCTATTCAAGCCTTCGTAGTGTGAAGTTTCCAGACATTTCTCTCCCAATGTAAGTCAATGGGAAAAGGTATATTTGGGCCCAATGACGTCACGGACTGACACAGAATTTGTAATACCACTGTTAGGCCACTACAGAAATGTGCGTCAACACCCGGCGTACTACCTGGGGGCTTGGTTATAAGTGGCCAGTTGTCCCAGTCAAATTCCGGTCAAACACTGTTTGTGTCTATTGAGCTAGACAATGATTGATTGGCAGGCTCTACAAAGAATGACATCATCATCAACGCCCAACTTTTTGGTTTCTTTTCAGCTGTCCTCGGTGACTTCAGACTGTATCTCAGACTCAGCTGCCTTAATTACTGCTTTGGTTCATAAAGGCTCTACAGAAAAGTTGCAAGCTTCAAAGCTTTATTCATAATGTTGACATTCAATTTCAAAATCGACATTTGAAATTGACATTTATTTCCTTTTTAATCTTTTTATATTTAAAGCCGTTATTTCTGTGTGGGTCGAGGCTTAGTATTAGAACAGAGGAGAGGCCAAGGGGAAATAAATGTCTTACTGGTTAGAAACAGGCCCTGTAGTGAATATATTATACTCCTATTAGATTCCAGTGGTGGCTGCGTAGGATTGTTTCAGACGTGTGTGATACAAACATTAGCTTTAACTTCAGAGTGATGCCAAAGATCACATTTTTTAAATCCTTATTATATCCATTATCCAAATTCCTCAAACGTAGTTTGCCTTTTTGTAATAAAATGTGACTATACCCTAATATCGTTGCAGAATCCTGAGTTGTACAATGACATAAATTACATTAAGTTTTGATATTGTAAAACATTTCAGTAATTCACTCCCTTTTTAATTTGCTGTTGATACTTTTCCCTGTTGAAACAAAACCGTCCTAATACACTGACACACAGTCAGCAGCACAGTACTGTAGTAACATAGTCACATACAACATAACACATCAATACGTAACAACCCATTGTACGTGATTTGTTAAGGGGCGGGACGTCTCTAAGCGGTTGACCAATCACAACAGAGCCGGCCAGCTAACCAATCAGAGCAGACTGGGCTCTGGTTTCAGACAGAGGGTGAAAAGAGGTGCTGCAGCACAGGCAGTATGAGAAGAATAAAAAGCTTTTTGAACATTAAAGCATGGAGACATGTCCCAGGAGAGACACTAGATAGAAATATGAACCTGAACATTTAAGTAACATGTCCTCTTTAAACGTGAGTCAACTGACTGAAATACAAATATTTCTATCAATTGAATGGTGGACTGGTTTTAAGTGGATTTGTTCACACAGTCTGCAGAGATACCCACACTGTCTGCAGGACACACCAAACCTCCCACACAGATCTTAACTTTTAATGAGATGCTCTTGTCCTTTGTGAGAGGTGAAAGCTCCCGTGCCTGGGGTCTACATTCGTGTTCCTCTCTAATTAACATGGCGGCGGCCCCCTGAAGGCCGGCCCGCTCTACCTCTCCTCTGCTCTGTTTCTTCCCTTGTCTCCTGGCACCTTTCCATCTCTCCATGCAGTCATGTCCTTTACCTAATTATCACTGTAATGAATATCCCGCTCACAGTTCTCTGCCTTCAGGGGATCTAGCTGGGATAAAGGGACTCAAAGTCTATAGACCCAGATTAGAAAAATGTTGGTCAAATGAATTACATACCAATTTCTTTAATAGAAAATATTATGTATTTTTTCCATTTGTAGGTACTTGTACTGTAGTATTTTCACTTTATACTACTCCACTACATTATGGAAGCCAATGTTTTACTTCGGAATCCACTATATTTAATTTACAGTTTTAATTACGTATAATATTTTTAGATTTAGATTATTAGCTATTACAAAATAATTATAGGTTAAAATATCTACCAGCATTATCTTAGGCAATTTCATTAGCTCTTCATTTTCCAGCTGTAATAAAAAACAACAACAACAACACAATAATAATCAGAATAATCTAGAAATGTAATGTATACAATTCTGAAATGGGCCATTATGCTTAACGAGTACTTTTACTTGTGGTACTTTTAGTATATTTGGATGTCGATACTTTTGTACTTTTACTTAAGTAAGACTTTGAATCCAGGACTTTTACTTGTAACCAAGTATTTTTACAATACAAAATTTGTGATTTCACTTTTGTAAAATCTAAGTAATTGTTCCACCGCTTATAATTACTATTACTATTATTATTATTATTATTATTATTATTATTATTATTATTATTATTATTATTATTATTATTATTATTATTATTGTGATTTATTCTTACAGCCTTAGAGTAGTGAAGTTAGGACAGTGCAACACAGAGAGTGTCAGGATATTGTGCTGTTTGATATGCTCTACCTCGCTTCTGAATGAACGATGGGTTAGCGTGACACGAAATAATCATTTAAAAAGAACGGGATGTATTCTTTTTACATTTCTGCTCCGAAAACATAATGGCAACCTCCATCTCATGGCAATTTGACATGATGACTCTTGCAGGGTTTCCCCTTGAGAATGCTTTAGGTCCGTCAGCAAGGTCCTGCTACATTGATGAACTACAGAATTATGTTTATCATCATTTCCAATATTGACTTTCATTAGTTAGAGTAGCAGGGAATATTTGTTTCTAGAATAATATACTTACGGTATGGTTTTTGGTTCATCTTTAAAAACGATTATATAGGTTTTATATTCAATTGTATTGTAATCTTTACATTCTTGTCAATAGTCATGTTTTTTGTGATACATTTTGAAACGTATTTATCATAATTATCTAATTATTTAGTCCCTAAGAGTTGAGGTCTTTGACCAAAAACAATGTTAAGTATTATTCTAGAAGCTATGCTTTCTGCCCTCTTGCTTTAACTGACTTTATTTTCTTGTACCTTGATTGAATCAATTAATATTGAATTAATTGATTAAAATGAAAAAATACAAGAAGTATTCTGTCGTCACATTCTTAGAGTGGCGCAATAATGAGTCCTAAAACCTGGAAAATACCTTTCTTACCACTTCCAGGTCCCTTGTCTTGAAGTCAATAGTTTCGTGAACGTGTTTGTGGTCAAGCGTAAAGATGTTCATGTTTTATTCTCGTGAATGTCCAAAGCTTATGTGTACCCTAAAACCGGCAGTTGTTAACAAGTGACTCAATGAAACGACATATTGTCATCAAGCGAACACAAGTCCGTCTTAAGCTTAGCAGTGGTGATGTTAGCTAAGCTTAGCGTTAGCTTTTTATTTCTGCCGTTTCTTTTCACCCTTCAAAAATCTAAAAGTAGTGTTAATATTTCGAGATTATCCTGCCAAACAAAATGTGTTATATATCATAAACGTGTGTTTGTCACAAAACGTATTTTAAAATTCCATTGCTTTTGTCGAGGAAGCCCTTGTGATGCTTACTTCAGGGTCATCCAACAAAAATATATTAGTACGGCACCACTCTCTTAACATGCTCAACAAACCCTAACGTTTCTTTTTTTTCTATTATTTTGGGGGGAAATTGGCAGAGATGGTGATGTGTCCTCTTATTTCATCTCGTATCCTTGTAATGTTCACAGACTGAACCCACTGACCAGTGAACATTAACATTTAGAACATTTATTTTTGTCAGTCGAGGATCTCCAGAGAACAACTTTAGCCTCTGCTCATTCTGTTCATTAGTCAGCGTTGATTATTCTCCATGCTCTTTGTAGCGTCCTCTGGCAGCTGTGAAGACGCTCAGAGGAACATTGGAGAGGTTCACAGGCCTCTCTCTAATACAGAAAGAAATGTGTTGCCTTCCTCCCCCTCCTTCACTACGTGCATTTGTCATCAAAGCCCGACACAAGTGCTTTAAAGCAAGTACTGGGGGTGGGGTGGTGGGGGGGGGGGGAGGTGTTGCCATGGCTACAAAGTCACCCTGTGGGCTCGGCCATCTATTGAGGTTTTCCTTTCTCCTTCTCTGGCGATGAAAATTCACGCGGGCCAAACTGTCAGAGCTTTTATGACTTCAAAGCCAGGCAGAATCCACGGGAGCTCCGAGACCTTTGTCAGATGGCAATGTGCTGCATTCCTCAAGCCCTGTTGACATTCACAATTTGCCTGTCAGACCTTAGCAACAAGGACAATCGCACTGCCGCAACTTTGAAAACACATACTCTCTCATGTGACTCTTAGGCTTGAGCACATGAAGCCATTACACAGAGAAAGAACGACATCTCCCTTAATTTAGCATTTGGTCCCAGTACACTAAAGTGGGTCGATGCTCAGTGACAGGCATCCTAACAATCGTCTTTTATGTATTTTCTCATGTTGGGATCCAACCCATCGCCTGACTCAGACAAAGGCCCCAAGATGCTGCCTATTTTTAGGCTAACTACGAGGTGCAGGGCATGGATTTGCTCACGTCATGTTGATTCATCCAACATGGTTTGATAGTCTACGTACGTTCTTTGCTCACTGTAATGATTTTTTTTCTTTCAGGTCACGGCTTCAAGTTCGGACCAATCATTGGCAAGCTCCTGTGTGAGCTCAGCCTGGGAGAAGTGCCCTCCTATGACCTGTCACCTTTCCGAATCAGGCGCTTCCAGGGAAACACCAAATCAGCTTTATAGAGCTGGACCTGTGCCAGTGCAGCATAAACAGATCAAATGTAATTTTAGCTGCAGCATGGTAATTCAGCCCTAAGTTTTTATACACAAAAACAAAATGACACATGTTTTGTCTGCTGCTTTTTGTGAAGAAATCAGTTTGTGTTTCCACCGCCGCATTGTGAAATCAGATGTGTAGCGCTAATGCAGCATGATGGTCAGTGTGTTCATACGCAGTTAGGAAACTGGTTAACAGTCTGCAGCTTTTTGATGATTAAAAACAACTCTTGTGTCTGTATGCTGAATATAAAAATACAGAAAGTGGTTATCTTAGCTTAAATGGGCATATACTGGAACACAGGAAAACACATAATGAGCCTTGCTCTGTCAGAAAAAGTGGCTACCAGGTCACCTCCTACCTCGTCGCTACTCAAGTGGCCTTGTTGCAGCTCTGATTCTGATACCAGCACTTTCACATTTTGCTGATTACTGTAACACTTTGGGTTTTATCGATCCATATACAAACTTACATTTGCAAACTAACATATTGGGGTTTTACACATAGTTATGTGCAGAAACTAGCAGAACACTTCATATCATTTTATACTTCTGCCTTTTCCTTGCATACAACTCAGATACAACATGTGAAGTAGTGACATTTAAAGGTGCTGGGAGCTTTTTGAACAACAATGTTTAAGCTTCCAGTAATTGCTGGTCAGTTAAGATAACCACCTGGATGCTCTAGCAAAAACAAAGATCTGAATTTTCAAGGGATTTTCAGGCGATCTTCAGCATCCATTGGGACCATAGAGCATGCGCACTTGGGTTTCTCCTAAGCCCCCGCTTCCAATCCGCTCCATCACATAAGTGTCATTTCTGGTCTCGCTCAATCAAATGAATGGAATGGGAACATTTGAATGTGTGTGAAAGGGTACCATGTTTTAGCCAAGAAGCAGGAAACGTGAGGCGAAACAACAGTCGGCTCTATTGCAACTAGTTCTTTGATGTTTGTGTGTCAGGGCCTTTAGCCATTCAAAGGGTGATAGAAAATGACCAGTAGCTTCTCAAAATGTCCAATTTTAAAAGTGAGCTTTTGTATTTTTGTATATTTCACATTGTTTAAAAGTTTCCATGAAAAAAAGCTGGGCTATTTGAACAGAGCCGTCCCTCTCAGTGCATGAAAATGTCTTCAATTTCCTGCGTAATATTGTTTCTCAGAGCTACTGGGTTCTACTGGGAAATGGACACCCATCAGTAGTAGGTTGTCACCAATGGCTGTCTAGCTCAGCTACATATGGAGCTACAGCACTCACATATACAGTAGTTATATTCACTACTGTTTTAAACCATGGTGCGCTTTATCCACAATGTGTTACTGTATGACATTCAACACACATTAAACAGATTGTTGTTTAAATGAAAGATGAAACAATCTTTTCAATGATAAGTCCAGCTGTCCTCACAAAGGGGACGTACCTTACGTAATGAACTAGAAATAAATGAATACTGCCTTGATTCTGACCAGAGGACCAACATCAACAACTACAGTCTAATATTGTTGTGCAATTGTAAATCCAGCCATCTGTGACAAATGATAATAAAAAAAAACTATAATCGTATTGGCTCGTATGATTTCATGACTCAGTGAACCTCCCTCTCGCTGCTTTCCCAGCATTCACCATTTTGCATGGTTAAAAAGACATCAGCCGTGGAGCCGTGTGTCTCCGTGATGCCAGCTGCGTGCTCAGGCTCTGGATCTATTTCCCCATGTACCGGTAAACATTTTAATCACTAATCAGACGGCCTATTACAATGGATGCCAACCACGGCCATCAGTGGGAATGGGAAAATTATGCAGTGAAGCGGCAGAGATCAGTGAGCCAGTTGCTCCCTTGCTTCTAAGTGACTTCAGATGGATAGCACGGGGCCATTATGCAAATTATTAGAATTAGAAGTACATTAAACATGCAAATATTCAACCACCAATAATCACCAAGCAGGGCCAACTGAAACACCTATGTGGAACATTATCTAGCTTGTAACATTCCTCAAAGCATCGAAAAAAGCCTACTTTATTCTGCACATGATTCTGTTAGCCGCATAATTGTAATGGAGCCCAGTCCACTTATTGCATTATGGGGCCAGACCAGGGTTCACACTGTACATCAGTAGCTAGTAGAGACCCTGAGGAGGTGACAATGTGTTGCAGGGGTCTCAAGTTAAATGAAACTTCTCTCAGAATGCACAGGTTAGCATGAATACTTCAGACAGAAAAGACAAGCCAGGAAAGGTGGTATCAATTTGAGAAGAACATTGGATATTAAAGGTTGTATTAACCATATTGTAAAGGAAAAGGCCATTTGGATCATTGACAAAGAAATACAATTTTTCATTCAATTTGACATGTAAATGTTTGTAAAAGCTGATCATGAGACAGATATGTGTATCAGGAGGGTATAGAGCACAACACAGAGCTAAAAGGAAAGTGAATATTGGAATTACATTCATCAGGTGGAGACAAATAGGACGCACATTTGTTTATTTCCTTTGCTTGTTGCACTGGCCGAAGGTTTAAAATTCAATGTATGAATAATCGTGCAGCTTTAAGAACCAGATGGACATATTGCAGGGGGGCCTAAAGACATGGCCATGTCAAGACTGATTTTACAAAATACGCCACATGCTTTCAGTATCTGTGAGTTTTGTCGAAGTTTATTAAAGATTACACTTTTATTCAACAACAAGATTCCCAAAACGCCCATGAATAATTTGTTTAAAAGATTTGTGGTGGTCTCACAACCTGAGAGCAAGTGTACTGCACTGCGGACAGGATGTGGTCTTTTCAGATCTAAAGACTGTACATTTGAAAGATTTGCAATGTTCTTTAGAAAATAAATACTCATGTACATGTGTACTTGAAAGGTAAGATCCATTTTATGTTATTCATATTTTTTTATTTTTTTATTAAACCTGTTCAACAACACTTTTTTTTATAAAATCCCAATTATACCAAGAATAATAAAAGTCTTAATGATTGTACTAAGTGTGGAATTTGAATTTCCAAAAGAGTAGGAGCACAATTTAGATTTTTAGATAGTGTAATTTCTTGGAAGTAAAGTTAGGTTTTGAGCATAATTAGTCAACTTGTTAGTAAATGTCCCCATGCATAAACATTCTTTACTGTTGCAGATGGGGTTATACAGAAACTGCTGTTTCAAATAAACGCCAGATGTGGAGACGAGGTGCGGCAGCCCCCTACTCCAACCCCTTCTTGCATAAAACCCTGTGCCCTCATGGCTGGACTACCAGTGGTTTTCTAAAAGTTGTCCCAGAGGCAGTGAAGAAGCTTCTCTCACAATGTTTCAGTGACCTTGGGCTGATGGGAAAGAAGAAAAACACACAGAGACTGAGTATATTCCACTTGGCCAAGCTCACAGAGCAGTGTCCCAACTGTTCTCTCTCTCACAGCAAATCTACCAGTGTGTCACGGAGGTTTCAGATCCAGATCAGAAGTGACATTTCTCAGAGTGCAACAAGTCGATGCAGTGATGAATATTAACATGGGCAGAGTAACATGGAGGTGAGTCTGTGATGCTTGTATTTAAATAATGTATTTACATATACGTTCAACACATTGTAGACCTTTAGAGTGGTGCCGTTATGGGAAGATTTGTAGGGGGTCCCTCGAGAAAATTAATATTTTTAGTTGGATTTTGGAATATTTCAGAAAATAGCATTAAAGCAATTGCCAGAGGTAAATGGCTGAATGACTTTACGGCGCTACCGCTAAGCTAAAGGTGGCTTATATTTGGCATGATGACGTTTAGTAGTCTCATTTAGTCACTGTTACCTTAACGCACTTTAAGACGTTCACTATAGTGGGGTATTAACCGTCATGCTTTTTATGTCGTAGAACAAACAAATCTCGTAAGCTTGTGTGAACCGCAGACGGAGTCTTTTTTAGACCTGTGAGGTGTTTTAAAAGATGAATTCCTTCACTAGGAAGCAATGGGTTTTGAGCTCAAAGACACAGACTAACCAACACACTCTCACTCCCTAAGCGTCCAGGAGCAACGCTTGGTCAGGGTCCCGTGGCGTCCAGTTGTGACGTGCCGAGGCTCCTTCAGCTTCATAAACGGACGCAAAGAGCTTTACAACTGTTTGCAATGTATTCCCATCGGCGGCGGTATTTGACGCTTAGGGAAGCACGGCATTCGTTTGTGTCGGAGGCTGTTAAAGGGCCCATGTCATGGCCATTTCCACTGATTATAATTCCATTGTTGAGGTATACTAAAATAGATTTATATTGTGCAATTTTCCAAACTCACATTGGTTTCTCAAACAGCATCTCTGTAAACTGTGTATTCACTGAATTTCACTCTCTGCCTTTAACGGCTCGTTGTAGCTCCAATAGCTCCAGCCCCCACCCTCCCTGTGAGCACAGTGTGCTCTGATTGGTCGGGACGTTGTGAATCGCGCTAAGCTCCGTGGAGGTGTTGTTTCTTTGTTAGCGATACACAGCCAAACACAGCCAAACTCATCCTGAGCACACACAAACTCACAGCCGAAGTAAAAACAATAAGTGTGGCTTGATATTGAGTAAGAAAAAGGTTGATAAACGCTGTGAGAATGGGTCTGCAGAGAGAATTTCGCCGCGATTCCAACTGTCTGTTATCAGCCTGCAGCCAGGGAGGAGAAATCAGCTGAGCTGCCTGCTCCCTGCACACAGATGTGTGAGGAAGTCCGTGGATTGGTCAATTTGGACCAATCAGCGGGGGCTTAACGTAACGGCTCCGCGGACGTAACGTAACGGCTCCACGGATTGGTCCATTTCGTTCCGGGTACGGCTTGACATCATGCCGTACCCGGAACGAAATGGAAGACTCAAATGGACAATGACGTATCTCCAACGAGGCGTTTTGGGGAGACATTTTCTGTGTTAGAGTTTTACTCGCTACAGGGTGTACTTTGAGGGTTTTGACTCTGCACACCGTTTACATGCATAAAAACCTTCATAACACACAAGGGGACGGGTAATAACCGGAAAAGCATGACATGGGCCCTTTAAAGGCAATGTGAGCGTCCATTCCCATTGGATAACGGAGAATTGTACACCCGGAAGTAAGTATTCCCCTTACTGTTGATTTGACAGTGATATCTCCACTACTCATCACCTCAAAAACACCAGATTATCCTTGTTAATTAAACGACATTGATAGGTTTTAGTGTGTGTACAATGCTTTTGTCACGTTTTCCCCTTCAATTCTGAGAAACAAGTCGTTTTCTATGAGTTTTGGATGGCCGAAGACATTACATTACCCACAATCCTCTGTAGCAACCATAGACTGTATAAAAAAATTAAATAATACATTATTCCGAGTGTGCTTGCTTTTCTCTTTGAAAGTCATCACATAACGGCATTGTAATACACGTTTCGGCTGCATTAAATATGACATATCTGCCGTAGTTAACTCTATTTATAGAGCCCTGATGAGAAGACTTCTAGACAAACAGGAACTGCCGCCAAAACTGAAAACTTGACGTGGATCTTAAATATATAAGCAATTAAACAACATCTTACATTTCTTTTCACACAATACGTCTCCTTGCAGTATCAACACTAATTCGGCTGACTTTTATATTTGATCCAATTGGTAGATCGGCTGTATTTACGCCATAACGGTGCACAGCTGATAGAAAGGGACACCTACTGGTTAAAGCACGTTATTGCATTTTATTATTTTATTATTAGATATTAATAGGATCCCTATAAAGTATATTCTTTACTCATCGTTATTCTCTACTAATAGTTAATTAAAGACTGTATATAATGACTATTTTGCACATCCCATTCAAGATTTCAAGATTTTCTAAGGTTTATTGACATATCATATTATACACAACTACGGTGTAGTTATGCAATGAATGAAAAACTTGGGTCGCAGGTTCCTCAATAGTGCATTACAAGACATCTATCAATATGTGTGTACCTCCACCATTACATTGTCATATTCTGCACATTTCTTATACTATCTACATACATCTTATAAGAGTATAATACATATGTATAATATCAGTTAAAATAAGTGCTTAAACATAGTTAACATTGCAGGCAAGCAATATTTTAGACGTTAAGTACTTTGTCAGGCTTAATATTTATCTGTATATGAGTGATTCTACAATTTAGGGTACATTCCATGTCCATTGATGTCCATTGATGATAATTATAATTATTCTAACTATTTTCTTCAAAAATATCATATTTAGCCTATTATTGGAAAGCATGTTATAATATCACACAAACATTATGTGCATCCTATGCTTTATTTAGCTTGAAATGTGTCATGATGTTCTTAAATTGTCCGTTTTTGCTATGTCCGTTTTTCAGTTGAGGGTGTCTTGGTTTCAAAATAATGAATAAAAACCATTAAAGTAAATTAAAAAAAATTATTCATTTATTTCAAAAGTCTAAATACTAAAGAATAATAACATCTTTTTAATTGATTTCCTCCTTTAAATTATTTAAATATCTTAATATATGAATGTCCGCAAAAGTTCTGTCAACTATGTTACTAACAGAACTCCCCTCTTTAACTCAAAAATGGTTTGTCCCAATACC